TGGCTCCTGGAATTTGCATTGAACGAAACGTCGATCCTTTGTCGTTCGCTCCTATCGATCCGTCCCGCGCGGATGGATAATTTTTGGGTCGATCGTGTTACTTCATCGTATCGTTTGCCTAAATGTTATGGAAATAACTTTTTGAACGGTGTAAACTGCGAAAATTCATTTTTTATCGCTTCAACTTCGAGATGTGTAGTTGTTAGGAAATTGTAAGTATGATTTTATTTTGAAGATGAGGTTATGGCATCGTGAATCATTGGATAAGGCTTGACTTCGGCTGTTATTTCTATTAAAAAAGAATAGAAAAGAAAAAATAGAAAAATAGAAGTATGGATGATGTTGAGGAACAAATTTTTGCTGTTGTAACGTAATAATTATAGATATCAAACAAGGGGAAAGTTTAAACGCACTTTCTAAGGATCTAAAGGATCGATACATGAAAGAAAGGATTTTCAGCTTTACTATAATACGCTCAAGAATTTATAGAAATAAAAATGTTTATCGAGAAGAAGAGTTTGTGGTGAATCGATAAAATAAAATTGAAAAGTTTCATATGTATTGCAATTTGATACAAAGTTACGATATTTCTATCTCGCGGAATTCTAAGCAATTTCTACTAACGCAGAGTTATTTTTCTAAAATACTATTTCTTTTTCGAAAATTGTGAAATATTCCCATATCCGTCGATATTTGCCTTCTATATAGTCTAGATAGAAATATTATATTTTTAACCTACACTGTTCCGACACTGACGTAGCCAGGACGTCCGAGAGAGGTTCGACACAGATGAGATTGTACGACCTATTTCGTATCTCTCACGGCCGGTTAAATCAATTTCTCATTTTTATATTTTTAATCAATCTTCGATCATACTATCGAAGAACGCCACCTCTTTTCATTTACCCGCCTCGCACGACATCGTCCATCCATTTAATCTTTCCTATCGATAAAAAGTTTCTAGCGAATCGTCCACAAATAAACCTTCCTCGAACGAACGAACGAATAAACGTTGGAAATCTAGGATCCACACGTGCCACCATTCTCGCGCGTTTGATTGGAAGAATTTTTCAAAGGAATCCCAAGGAAAACCGTTTATATTTTTTCGAGCTGTTATTGAAAATCTTGCCGAAGGTATTCATTATCATCATCTTTACGAATAATTAACTCTTCCAAATTCGCAATTAAATTAAATTTCTGATATATATATATAGCAACACGTTTATTCCTCATATTTAAGAATTAAGATCATATCGATGGATCATCGTTCGCAAAGCGATTAATAATTAAATAATTAAATAATCGCATCGATACGATCGATACATACGAGAAAAACGATTATACGTATTTTAATTTAATCTTAATACCGCGGAGAAATCGATTTGCTCGGGCAATACACAAAGGGCAATAAAGTGGTCTTCTTTACCGTGGTCGTTCAAACCGCACCCACTGACACAAGGGCACAAAATCCGTGCCGAGCAAACCTGTCACGGGGTGATGAACGGCCGTCGCACCCTCGTTCGAGCGAATATTGCTTCATTAAGCTTTCCTTAAAGCCTCTCGTTCTCGAGACGTTTTGTTTACCGATCACAAGTACCAACTCGGCCGGCTAACAAATCGTTTATAAGAGATTGACGTTCGCCGCACAATCGGGCACGTTTTCCGCCAACAGTTTGGAATATCGCCTTCCACCGTTCCATTGGCAGCTTTTAATTAACTTCGTGTTCGAGAAAGTAATAATACACGGCACGGATACTTTGCATAAACTCGATAACCGGGCACAAACGCGGGCAAAACTGCGCGAGCTATCGAGGAATTGGAGTTGTGAAGGCGGTATATATTGCGCCGGTGGTGAGATACTCGGTGTACATGCTCGGCTGCATCCCAGAAACAGCAACCAGCCGTTGATTGCTTGAAATTTTCACTCCAAGATGGATACATGGTTAGGATACATAGATCGGCCGTGGACCGGAAGATCGATGCTTGAATCGATCGAAACGCGAAAGTTTGACCGATCTTTGATGAATCAATATTCTAAAGTAAGAAAACTATATTTGCAAGAGATTCTTTAATAAGTAGATAAGATTCAATTCTTTAAGATCTTTGAAGAATTTAATCGTTCAATTTTATTGGGATGTACTTCTTTTTTATTTAAAAACATTATTACAAAAATCGATGAACGATTTTTAACTAAAAAAAAAAAAAAAAAAAAAGAAAATTTCTGTGCTTAATTACCCATCTTATTCCCTTAATTTAGCACCAACAGAGTTTCTGTTTCATCCATAATTAAAATTAAAACTGGAAGATAAACAATTCCAACAAAGTTTGAGCTTGATATTGAACAAAGTTTGACAAGGCAAGTAAACGCAATTCAAGCAGAAGAATTTTTAAACTCTCTCGAACAATTAAACGACCAAGATATCGTGGATATTATATTGAATTTTTTCAAGATTACTCCGAATCAAAAAAAAAAAAAAAAAAAAAAGAAAAGTTTGTAGAAATTTGTATTTCTCTTAATCTCGTTATTTTTCTGCCAGCTCCAATGTATATATATATTATATTTTTTAAACGTGAATGGAAAATGTGTGTATCACGTTTATAATTAAAAGGAAACATTATGCGAAATTGCTAGAGTTTAAATACAGTTGCAAAATCGAATGAACGTTCAACTATATACTGGAGTAACTGGATGAATAAAGCCAAATACGGAACGGATTGTTAGCAAACAATTATATGCATCCGCGAGGCGTGTACAATGAAAACACACTCCTCAATTGGAATTATCACTTTACATACGCGTTTTATTTTTCTTTCTCATGATGAAACGTGAATACCGACGCGTTTCAATGAGAAACCCGCACGAGGAACATTGCACAGGAGGAGGATCAATAGTTCTCATTCACACTTCTGCAACTTGAAACGTAACGAACGCCAATTTTCCCCCCAACAGTTTTACGGAGTCAATTATTTCCGATGGAAAAGATTGCTCTTTATGGCATTACGTCGATATTGATTCGCTCGTTACGCGTTCCGTCTCCCTTTCCTTCTTATTTCGATCCGATCCTCCGCGACGAGGAAAATTGAATGAAAATAAAACGAGGTCCAAAAGAAGAAGAAGAAGAAGAAGAAAAGGAATCCACGTACTTTATGACACAAGAAAAATAAACTCGAGAATTTTTTACTTGCTACTACTTTTAATGAAATACGAGAAATATTATATAATAGCGAAAAAAACATTATTTTACTTTAACCAAATATTAAACTTAGGTACAATATATCATCGTTACAAAAGATATAAAATTTCTTTAGTGTAACGAATCAATGATAACGAAAATAAAAAAAAAAATTTACGTTCCACCATATTTATTATACACGAAGGAGGCTCACAATCCCCGAGCAGTTTCCGTTTTGACAAGCAGCTTCCTCGATCGTTCTCGATCGACTCAACATCCGTTGCTGCGGCGAAGGCGAAACTTCCTGCAGGAACAGGAACGCCCGGAGGACCTTCGCAATTAGTGAATTCATCTCCTCGAATGCACCGCCTCCTGGCCTCGAAATAAAAGAAGAAACCGCGTGTCTCGTTAAGGTTAACGCGCAAGGGCCGGAAGTTTGATTAGTCGGCAGCCTAGATGGAGGCAGAATATTAGGGAACTTAGCCGGGGAACTTGTTCATTAGCGGATCGGGCGAGGAGTGAGAGGTCGAGTTGGTGGTGGAACGAGGGCGGGAGAGGTCGAGTTGGACGCCTTGGTAAATCCACGTTGTAATCTGACGGTTAGATCGGGGCGGCGATTGAAACTGCCAGCAACAGCCGAACAGTTCCAACCCGCCGCGGTTTCGGAAGGGTCTGCCTCTGCAACTAATATACACGCGTGTAATTAGTTGTGTCGCGCTCGATAGTGCGCTTCGTGGCTGATTTGTTGTTGGCTATGCTAATTTTATTGGATCCCTATATATATATGTATTTGTGTGTGTAGTTCTCGTTTATATCACCAACACACGCAAAAGTACCTGGGTTTTCTCATTGAAATTGATCAAGAGGAAATTGGAAGACTTGTAAGGGATGTGAAATGTTATGGATCAGGAATTTTTACAGGTTTTTTAATTTTTTGGATTCGAGGCACAGATGCGCTGCGTCGAAATTCGTATTTTTGAACTTTCGAGGGTAGATAAAATTGATTAAAAATAAAATATTTTGAAATTTTGTCCCGTTTATATTAAGTTAAAACGAGAATCTGGATCTCCTCGCGATTTTGCTCTATCTAATACTTGTGTAGTATTTCGATATCATGAAATAAAGGATAAAGAAGCTGTGGCATCCTGTTTCCCATGGTATTAATCAGATAGGGTTCACGGTGCTTTATTACGTATTCGTTTGACAGGCGATATTTTTACGTTACCAAAGTTAGAAAAAAGTTTACGCGAGTTAAGAAGCTGGTCTTTAAGAAAGTTTCGTAATAAATTTAAGATTAATGAGAAAATAAATATCGTACTTACCCTCAACTATCTTCGTTGGTTTCTTAATAAACTTGATTCTTTATTATTGTCTCGAACGAGTAAATGGAAAGAAGAGGTATATGCTTCGTATCACGAAAGAAAGGAAAAAAGAAAAGGACCACGTAATTATCTAGAAGATAACCAAATAGGGATAGAAAGAACGAATCGCAAAATGAAGAATACGGGCTCTTTTTTTTTTTTTTTAGAAAAACATTTACATATTTATATATATAAAATATAATACAATT